AAAGGGAATAATGGACAGATCTCACCACCTTAGACTACCCTTGCCAAGCAACACACTGAAGGACATGGAAATGTGGCTTTCATTTATGTCACTAAGTTTTAAGGTATTTGGGAATATTAAAAAAATCCAGTACCTTGCAGGGACCAAAGCATTCATATTCTGACTTCTAAAGCATTTTATTTGCATCCCCATTCACTTGTGATATTAAGGACAGTAATTTAGTGAACATACTGAACAGATGATTTTTTTTCTTTTTTAAAGACTGAAAAGCTGTCACTATTTCAGCATATTTCATCTTCCAATGGTTAAATAAATCATTATCTGTCTACTTTAATTTATATGTTTCTGTTGTCCAGGATTGGAGACAGGTTACACAGAACATAAAGTCATGTTCTAAGGCCAAGCTGAGCCACACCAAAGGTCTGTCCAGACCAGGATCCTCTCTCCAGCAGCGACCAAAATTTAATGCCAAGGAAAGCATGTAAGAACACGATAATTTTTTCCAGTTTCTAGCTAGTATGATGTCCCCGAGTTGGATGTGGTTTCTGCATATTTAGTAGCCTGGATTTCTTTTTTTAACTTGGCAAATCTCTCCTTGAGCCTGCATAAACTTTCAGCACACCCACAGCATCCTGCAGGAAGGAGCTCCCCAGCTCAACTACCTGTTGCAAGCCACCTCCTTGGCTTGCTTTGAACCTGTCTCCTCTTAGATTCATTTGCTACACCTTAATTTCTATATGCTCCCCGCCTCCACACAATCATGGATGCACAGACCTCTCTCACACCCTCAGTCATCTAATTTATACTACAAGCATCATAAGTGCTCACAAAATCTGACCTCATTACTCGATACTTTTTCAAACCCATAACTTACACCTACCCCTAATCTTAGCCACACTCCAATAACCCTTGCCAGCCTTGGGACAAACTGCGCCTGTACAGCTCACCAGCTGACACAGAAACCTTGCGAGAGTTAACGATACTCCTTTGGGTTCATCCTGTGTCAACCAAGACCCCAATTCCAGATCTAACTTTGTGCATTTCACAAAGACTGCCGCACATTTCCAAACTACTGTTTTTCTTCTTTATTCCACTTGTTGTCATCAGCCTTCCTCCTAGCCCCACAGAGTTGGCAAAGTCTTACAATAATTTTCAACTCTGTTGAAAACCGTAACGTTTACCCTGGCGAGACATGCACAGTAACCCCATTTCCAGCTCAGTGCAAATAAAGATGACTGCTTGCAAACAGAAACTCCCATTTGTGCCCTGCATGATCTGCAGAGTTACAAAACAAGTTTCCTGCTGCCAGAGCACTAACTCTTGCTTCAGCCATAGTTAAGGTGTTAGTAACCACCTCAAGATCACCACCCAACACTGGCCTTTTGTTTAGTTTCATGGGGCTTCTCCCTTCTGGTCTTGACACCAAACTTAGCTCTTCCACTCCCTTCCTCCCAATTCAACCCAAATTGCAAATAACATCCCGGCTTTAAATTCAGTGCTGTGACCTAATTAACTGTCTTCAAAACCTCGTTAAAAGCTTCTGACACCAACTCTTCATATGCTGCTACTGTAGGTGTCCACAGCTGAGGAACATGCACTGCTTAGCTGCTTCTCTGAGGCTGGGCCATAAGCACAAATTCTCCGACGTGACTGGACATCCACCAGTTGGGCAAGCAACCACACACACCAGCACCTACTTGGATGTTGAATATCCTCGAGCCTTGATGTCCTGGACCCTAACCTAATGTCACGTCTAACACTGGGTCCAGCAAGTTGTATCACCTCCAAATCCACCCTCAAGCAATTTACTCAGCTAACACCACTTCTTATTTCCACCCTGTGGAAATATCAGACTTCAAAAACAATCTTATCTCTTCAGCCTCCCTCTTCCTCGCACCTAAGCTGAACGCCAGCCCTGCACCTCAGCCTAGCCTTCCTGCTGGCCAGACACACAGATCTGCCTGGAAACCAGGCCAACGCCACCCAGCCTTGCTGGCTCCATCTGACATCCCAGACCTGCCCTCATGATGACTAGCACAATTTCAGTCCTGCAGCAATAGCTTCAGCTCTGACCATGGTAAGATAAAGTCTCAGGTGAAAGTTATAGTTTGAGTCTGAAAGAGGAGGTGAGGAAGGAAAAAGTTAGTTGCCAAGATAAGGGCTGTGGTCAGCGGGTGCATCATGGGCTGTCAGTTCAGAGACAGTCACCAGGTCTCTGCCTATCTTGCAAGACTGACCACTCACCCATTTGGCAAAAATTTGCCACCCCAGCTGTCTAGAAACTTACCCTAAGGTACCATCCACGTTGACTAATTGGTCTTCCCACAGCTCCACAAGACTGGTGAGATACAACAATAAAAAATCCAGCTCTCATCGCCAATTTCTTGTTTGCAGGTGGACCCCACAGGTCTGACATGAAGACTATTGCCAGCAGTGCAGCTGGGCCTACCGCTAGCTCCGAGGCAGTCTGTGGGTCACTGACTATTTTGAAGTGAAGGGTTAAGGTCTAGCTTCAGGAAAGAAGGTGCTGCTGAGCAAGCCTAACATGCTGGCACGTGGATCCTGCAGGCTTAGGGATCAGGACAGCTGGGTTTTGGCCTCTTCCAGGTTATTTAGTTGCAACTTCAAGGTAGTGGTCAGCTTAAGGTTTGAGTTCAGAGAAACAAGAATTGCAGCGAAGAATTTATAGGCATATTCTGCAGGTACCTCACATCTAAGATGAAGGCTTATGCCAGGAGACTAGGGTTAAGGTCAACAGAAGCTCAAGATCCAGCTTCTTTCTAGATCATACAGTGCCCAGAGTGAGGACAGCGACTATCACAGAAGGTAAGCGACAAGATCCATGGCAGGGAAAGTGGCAGGTACTGAACTGCAGCAACACACTGTCAGGGCCCTGATGAGCCTCACCTGGCCCCACACCTGATGCCCATTGCTGTAACAGCCCCATTTCAGCTCAGCCTTATCTCCTGGATGGACCTTGGACCTGCGCTGCAGGTAGCTTGTCTCCTGGATGGACCCCCACAGACACATGTTCTCGCTTGTCCTTACTTCTGCCTCTCGCCTTTTCTCCTGGATGGACTTCGGGTCAATGTTGCAGCCTTGCCTCCAGTCCCGTCTCCTGACTGGACCCTGACCAGAATTCAGCAACAAACCTACTTTTCAGCTTCTGCTGTCAGGACCCATGCCTGAGCATCAGCAGGGGAGGTTGGTCCTAGAGCAGCAAGGAAGGAACTGACCAGCTAAATTTAACTCTGCATATTAGAAAGCTACGTAATGGCTGGCATCCAGGCTTGCCGAAAGGATTGGTTTTCTGGATGGAAGATACAGGCTTCTGGGTAAATTGGCTAAAGTGAGGATTAAGATCAAGCTTAGCAGAAGTAGAAGAGCTGGGATAACTACAGGGTTTTAGAATCCCTCCAGAAGAATAATATTGGTTTTTACTGGCAAGGGTTTCCTTAATTAGGTTTGGAGCAGGTAGGTGTTGCTGGACCGCAGGTGAAGCCAGGGCTGCTGCTGGGGCCAGGCAGGACCTCAGCCAGCAGCACTCTCACTTGTCTTTCATAAGGCTGTTAATAAAATTCACAATACCGGTGGTAAAAATAGTCACCATTTCATACCCCAAGAATGACTTAGCTTTTGGGTTTAAAAAACCTTCCCCTGTCATTACAAGATGTAGAGATACAAACACAGGAAAGACATTTGCAGCACAGAATACGTAATTGGAATCAGGCCAGGATCGTTTATGATTTGATGACCCCCATCTCAGCATAAACATATCAAAAAGAGACAGCAGCAAATCCTTCACGCTGTGCCGCACAGAGTCTAGTATTAATGACTCTGCCAGAAATGCTGCGAACAGATCAGAACTTTCCAAATCAGACAATGTGCTTCCTGGAAGCACTTTTAGCCTTCATGGTAATAGGATCTGTTGTCACATTATCATAAAGGTCTCCCAAATGAGATCCAGTCCAATTCTGCAGCAGATGTTGAGTAAGGACTGCTTGATCTTAACCTGTGTCTCAGCTGCAGTTCCACTGTTGGGATGAGGAGCCAGCAAGGCCAGAAAGCGACACAGAGGAGGACTGTTCCAATTTTCATTTGAGGAAATTCCTCCAGAAGCCTCCAAAGTGTCTTTCCACAGTTCAGGAGCTAACCGGAGCGAACAGTTATGCACATGGCCCTGTCTTAAGAGGAACTGAACTTCCTACCACCTTCTCGGAGGACTGGTCTGGTTAGGTCTGGAGGGAAGAGCTAAGACACAGCTGCCACTGCCTTGCTGGTCTGGCCCAGCAGAGCCAGAGGGATGTGGTATCAGCCCACCTAACCACACACCAGGTCCCAGGCAAGGTCCCCAACAAAAAACACTGTTACCAAATTTCAGCATTTCTGTATCCTTAAAAAAAAAAAAAAAAAAAACACCACAGTGATAAAATAACAAAAAACTGTTAACACAAATTTCAGGTTCATTGTTTTCAATTAATCCATGGCAGCCCATGCTATGCTTAGCCAGAGCTGTGCAGTTCTCTGTGCCACAGGGGTCCTGCCTTCCACCTTCACTGCTCAGCCACCAATATTCCACCAACAGGCATGGTCATCCCCTTTTTACACAAACTTCAGCTGAAGCCGAAACTCCGAGTGCTTGTATCCCACACCTCAGGAGCAGCCAGTTTTAAGGTTTAGGATTAGGCTTCAGTCAGTGGGCTTTCCAGTCCTGTGCTCAGGCAATTCAACTATATTCTTTGGGCTTTGCATAAAAATAAGCCCATATTATTCAGTAAGAAAGCGTCTGTAATATAACTCTACAGGACCTGGAGCGTGCTTTGGGGTTCCAATAATGCTGGTCACTTTCTATTCTAGGCAGAGCAATAAGGAGAAGTAATTAAGTAAAAGACAACAAAACAAGTCTTCTCATTTGCCATCTGTAAAACATTTTAGTACAGGGAAAAAATAACATTGAGACTACACTTTTGAAAACTTTTGTTTGATTAGTGGCATTGTACCTCGTCAGTAAATACGGTGAGAATGAAGCTGGATTGTCCTGCTCCGAAAACATTGGCATGGATCCTCCCATTATCCAGAGGCGGAAATACAACACAAGAATCACCTTCAAAGAACAACATCTCAGTTAGCAATGCGCTACTAAGAAGAACTAAGGCCTCCAGCAAATATTTTGTTGTGATAGCTCTCTATGTTCTGCGCCTAGAAGCGAGTCAGCTCAGCAGTTTAGGCAAAATTCAATTTTGCCACCCTATCTAGGGTGACAAACATGCCAACCCTCAGCACAGACAGCACGCTATGGTGTTGTGTCCTTTTCCTTTCATGTGTGCATTACTGACAGCAACTGGCATATCTCAGCTATCCACAACAAAGGCAGCATTTTGAAGGACAAATCAGTCACCCCGCTGCGGCTCAGACTGCAGAGCTTTGCTATTGACCTCTACTTAAGTACAGAGGGGAAAACCACGGCTGACGTCTTAAAAGCTATTATCGTTCACTCATACTGGCATAGGTGTGAGGACAAGCTCCATCGGTGTTTCTCATGCTGCGTTATCCTAATGCCTGGAAGGACTTCTGTGGGCTGGCACTCCTCCACCTTTCTGGGAACCACTTGTCAAGAGACAAGCAAGGGGATCCGGCTCCTAGAGCAGCACAGAGTTGCACACCCAGCACACCGCTGTGGAGGTGCTTGTTTTCTCCCCTGCAACATGTCAAGTCCTGCTTGGAACGCGCCAAGCAGCAGGTATTTGCAGGCAGAGCTTTTCTTGTGACTCTTACTGAGCCCTGCACTGAAACTAACAGCATGCCACTGAAAAGTCAGCCCAGCGCCAGACAGTCCCCCTGTATTTAGGGCAGGAAATACTTGCAGATGATTACACGCTTGTAAGGGCAACCACTATAAATTAAATCTGAACTGAAAACACAGCAATATTCTTGTCTCTGCCCAGCTGAAGTTTTCTAGACTCTTTTCCAAGACTAACTTTGTATTGAGATCTACCATCTAAGCTTTCTGAGTCTTTTGGGATACCACCATGCAATGTTCATTCTCATCACATACCCAGAAATACATGGTCAAGTCCATTGGTACTTACATAGCTTATCACCAAAGCAGCTCTCTTCAAAAAAGGCCTTGCAGTGTACAAGAAATTCTGGTTGTTATTTGCAGTCAGGTAGCTGAAATATAAGGAAACAAATATTTGTTGAAATACTTTGAAACAATAAAGTCATTTTTCAAACTGGAAAAAAAGCTGTACATTGTTTTAACCACCCTAAACTAACATGCAAGAGTAACAACATCACCCTTACTATTCAAAGCTCTTTCCACATGACTTAAAATACTGAGACCACTTCAAATAATACACACTATAATACATTGCAATTTCCCCATCAAAATTTGGTTGGTTTTGTTCTGTTTTTTAAATCATCAATTAACTCCTTAATCCTCAGAAAAAACCCCACATGTGTCTCGCTAAGATTGCTGTCTTCAGACTCCCGGAAGACTACACCGAGACACATTTTTAAAAGGTCACCCAAACAGAGAAATTCAATTTTAGGCCATGATTAAAATGCAAAAACTCCTTGTTCCCAGCTCTCTGCTCTGTCTCTAGAGATTGGAATAACTGTCTAGCAGAACTGAACTTATTTTAAGCATTTTTTTTTTTAAGTGTATTCTGCATGCTTCAGTTTCATTACAAGTCTGCTGACAAGGTGTTATGATAATTAACTGCACAGAGACAAACACACAGGTGGCTTATTGTTGGAGGAGCGTTCATAAAAACCTTCCTGTTTCTCAATGAGTAAAATTAAACTGTATCTGGAGCCAAAACTACACATTTGCACTTGCCAAATTCTAAGGAGCTTTCTTAATATAACAAACGGTGCCATACCTGTGACATTAATTCAATAATAATTCCATTTCTAGTGAACCTTACAGAGGCTTCGTCATTGTAATAAAGCAGTGAAAAACAAAAAGAAATACAGAAAAGACAACAGGAATATTTTAAGCATATAGGAGCTAGAAAACTATTGAAAAAATGGTAATTTTAAGAAGTATATCAAGTAAACAAAATAAATTCAGAAGGAAAACATTTGCAGGTTCTTCTATGTAACTTACAATCAGTATCGGGATAGTCTATTTAAATGATTTACAAAAACTGCAGCATGAATCACAACACCTGCACGCAAGTTACCTTTCCAAGCATGAAAGCATCACACGTTTCTCCCGTGAACATCTAGCATATAAAACACATCTTATTTCCTCTCCAAATTCCTCAAGACAGTCTATCATCTGATTGCTTCCACCCTTCAAGTCTTCAGAAAAACAAGATTGCAGCACTTCCTAATGCTGCCAAGAGTCTTTAATATCTGGCTTTTTGTTCACATTTTCTATAGTAGGAAGTTTGCAAGCCTGGTCACCATGGCAAGATAGAGAAGAGATTACACTGCAGACAAAAGCACCAGGGGGAAAGCCAGCAAGAAACAGAGGTGGCATTTAACAAGAAGTAGCACATCTGGGTGCTCTCTACAAAATAACTGCTCTTCAGAAAACTTTCCCTAAGTGTCATGCCTAAAACTTAGGAACCAAACCATACAGTGCAAAGCAAGCCAGATGACTTTCAGTCTTTGGTGTCTACTTATTTACAAATGTTGACATTTAAGCACTGAATCTGACTTAAATGTCAGACTGGTGTTCAAGGGCTGAACTCCGCAAAGTGCAAAGTTTTTTGAGCTCCCACTGATTTTAATCAGGCTCCAGCAAGTACAAGTGAGATGAGACTAAGCCTTCAGCTTTCTCTCTCCATGAAAGGTCAGGCTGGCCTTCAAGTGTTCACCATGGCCCTGCTCCAAAGCCCACCGGAGCCAAAGGGAAAGACTCTCTGTGACTTTAATAGCATCTGGATCAAACCCCGGTCTTTTGTTCCCTACTGGAACCTTTTATGAAACTCAATCCCCTTGTGATTTGCAGTGGGAACAGAAATGTTGGGTTGCATTTTGTTTATATTTTTATGGGTGGAGGGAGGAGAGCCCTCTATTAATCATGCTGGCTGACTCTTTTCAAGAACCTGTTTTCACTCGCTTGTAGTTTTAACTAACTGCAACACTTTGGGCAGAAGTATTCCATTACAAATACTTGCTTTAGGTGGAATTATTCTGGGAAAAGATCAGCCAGAACAGTTCAGCTTTTTCTCCAAGACTTCAAATAGAGACAGAGGAGCACTTTTATCGGTGTCAAGAAGTCTGCCAACTTCATCCTTGACAAACTCCATCACCTCGCACCAGTGACCTAAAACTGGTGAGGCAGCCATGTCTCCGGGCCATGTGTTTGCCACCCTCCAGAACAGCCACCTGCGGTCGGGCAAGCTACAAGCTCGGGGGGCAGCACCTGCGGGGAGGTGGGGACATGCAGGCCCTGCTGCTTTGCCATGCTCAGCAGGGATCTGGCTTTTAACAGATCAAGTTTGCATCAAACATGTTCCAGCTGGAACAACTGCTAGGGACAACACGCTGTTTGTGAAGGCAGCCCTTCAGAGGGAAGGGTAAACTGCATTTTAGGCTGCTGAGGCTCAGGAAAGCACACCTGTGCTTCACAGCCTTGCAAACACTGATCTAGGTCTGGAGACCACCGTAGAGGAACCCTCATCATTACCATCTCTCTGTTCCCTCTCAAGCCTGGCCCGAGAAGTAAATTAAAGCCAGAAAATGAATGTAAATGGAAGATAGTAGCTGCTTTTTCATCCTTGGCAGTACACTGCAGGAACGCGTACTCTTTAAACATCTCGATTTTTACTTTTTTTGTCTGCCTATGAGTAACTAAAATGCTGCCCACACCTTGCACCTTCCTTGCAGCAAGCATAACACCATGCAAGCTACCAAACACAGTTTCAAGGCATGAGTTTATCTGCAAGTCAAAGTTAATTTGAAGTGTTCCACCCAATTGCAGGGTAGCTCTGCCCACTGCAGAGCAGGCCTTTTGAAAGCAGTTCAGAACATCCTGGAAGGCCCTCACAGTTTACATTGTGGAGCAGTAACAATCTCCAGGAAAAAAAAAAACCTTGCATTGACGCCAATTGCAAATCACCACTCTGTGCTGAAGAGCAGACGGGCAGCAAGCAAGAAGGAAATAAATGAAAGCAACAGGTAACTGGGAGCGGGTGAAGCAAGAGAGTTCAGAGCGCCCTGAACTTTCTGATCCTTCCTCCAAATACTTTTGCTACTTTGCAGCTTCAGTTAAGAAATGTTTCTTTCCGCAACAGTTCAATTAACAAGCAAAGCTTTTCCATTTTGAGAAAGCTGCTGTCCTGAAGTCTATCTGGAAACACAAAAGATAACATGGTTCACTGCTTGGTAACCCAGCTGTCTGCCCATCAGATCAACCTGTAGGAGGGGCATAAACATACTGGTTATGCTCAGTGCATCAAGGCTTTACAAGAACCATGTGGTTTTACAGAATACCTTGTTGAGCCTACTACTTGTTTCAGGAAAGATAACTAGTAAAACATCTCATGTCTGGTGCAGGCGAAGAACAATACACAGTTTATGTACTAAAATCAAATGAACTGCAAATGGGACCTGGATGAGGAAGTTTGCTAAATGTCAGTGACACACAGCATGTAAAATGAAGTAGATTTTACACGTAAAATTGCAGCTTGCAAAAACATCTGGAGTTATGTTGAACGTCACTCAGACAACCTTAAGATCAGCCAATGCTCTTTATTTTGTCTTTACGTAGGACAATCAAAGAAATTACTATTACAACAGTTTAACTGTTTCATACCCATTTTAAACAGCTGCCTTGTATAAAGTCATTTACAGGTCAGATTTCCGTGCATTTGCCAACCACACCAGGCTGCCAAACACCCCGCCGTTCATGGGAACCACTCCCTACCACCTGCTCCAACCCGGCCAGCATAATGTGGCTCCCCATGCCGAAACACACACATGCATTCATTCCCACATGAGAGATGGCGTGGGATGCGTGTAGGAGAACTGTATCGATGGTGGCTCTGCACAGCAAAATGCTACCTCCAGAGTAGGCAAACATTTCAAGGTGTGGGTCTCCCAGATTTTCATAATGAAATGATAAAATCAGAGGAGGAAATCCAGATTGCTAAACGAGTGTGAAAAGAGCCCATTTGGGCAGAAGTTCCACCTCTGCTTCATGCCAGCTTTCCCACAAAGCAAACCAGCTTGTAATTACCTACTTGCTATCTTTTAAAAGCCTTTCAGGAATACTCCCTGAAGCAATCAGAATCACAACAAACAATAAATCCCAGAAATGCTTAATAATGCAGGGACTTCTCTTGCACAGTTAGAGCGGAGGCCAAGACAGATATTTGGCAGCTCCAGCTTCCTGAAAAGCACGGCTCATCCTGAAATCAATTACATCATCAGGGCACCCGGAGGTTTTATAATTGAAGACAGCAGGGTAGGTGGCCTAGTAAAACTCAATACTGTGCAGTTTACAGGAATGTAAACTTTGCTGGTACCAGATGGACTCTGTGTTAATCAAAACAAACTTCTCTAAGAAGCAGGCAGCTTTTTTAATTTGCCTGTACCCGTTCGAGGCATCTAGAGTTCACAGAAAGGAGCGGGCTGTGTGAGCTATCGCAAACCGGTATCGGCAACACATTTATCCCACACTGCAGCTGACTCAGCTTTGGTATAAATGTGAACTCGCTCTTGTGTTCTCTTTGAAGGCTTTCTCAAGGGAAGCAAACAAACAATTAAGACATATGATGGATGCTCCCCATTGGGGACATCTAAAAGACCAAGATAAGTACGCAGTAGGACAAGCTTTGGTATTTCGAGAGCTTGTTTTGGGCAGGTCCCTCTGCTGTAAGAAGAACATTGCTGCCATTTATATTCTTCTCGGGAAACAGATCCAAGTCCCAGCAACCACCAGTATTTTGAACCAACACTTCCAAAACCCTAATACTAAAGGAAGGCATTAGAAGGATGAGTATAAAAGCAGGGCTGTTAACTTATTCTTAATTATTGATAACAGTAAGACACCTCTAATCAAGACATTTTTAAACTTAGAAGGGGCTATTTTAAGTGAATGTCAAAGCTTTAGGTCATTGGTAGGTGCGCATCTAACTCCAAACCAGTATGACAGACTCCTCTGCTGAGAATGCAGAATTTTTACAGGAGCCATATTTTGTCTCTAGACACCA